CATTGTCAATTGTCAAATATCATTGTACAAATGGTATTGTCCAAATGGGAATTGATAGTTTGTAATCTGTAAAAACCTTTTTAACCTATTTCTTTGAACGGAGGGACCTATTATAGGTCCCTGCGTCCCATAAACATGGATAAGTGTCCTTAAGGTTTCCTAATTTTTGGGACAGAAATCAAGGAAGTGGTGAACCTGAATTCTCCAATAGTCAGTTGCGGGATTCATGTCAACTATGGGCAATCTCAATCACTTCGTGCATGTCCTCTCCTTTCCTCGGTTGCATGTAGTCGATCCCGCTTGTTGATGTCTGAAGTTAAAGGACCATGTTCTTTTGTGAAAGTTCGATTAACTGTAGATGTTGTTGGTTTGAGAATCACAAAATAACAACACTCTGTAAAAACTTAAAATTGCATAAACATAAAATCACAGAACATATAAGATGAACACAAAGATTTCTCATCCCTTAAGGTCTAGATGTTTGGCCAAAGGCCTAATCACCATGATGAGCATCTATCAAGTAGATATCGCTCGAATCCACTAAAAATCGTCGAAAACAATTACAGAATGTACGAAGATCTCCTCATTTAGGTTTTTTTGTGCCTTTCTAAATATTACAACAAGAATACAATCCTTACAATCTCTCAAATGGCATCCTAAATACAACCAAAACCATCTTAATAAAAAATTTACAGAGATTGAACATGAAGAAGTAAGGATCCGATATCACTCACACGCACACACAAAGAAAAGTCACAATTGAACCAATAACGATGGGATGATGTTTGCGAGGCTTATATACTCAACCGTTCAGATCAAGATCAACGGCCATGGAGAGGTCAAGATAAATCAAAACCAATATTGATAAAAGTGTGTGTTTCATCAAACACGGTTTTAAAGCAATTGAATCAAAACCCGGTTTAACAATATTGGATCCAATCAAATAGTGAGGCAGCCTAATTGACACAACAAATGTCAAGTAAGTTAAGAACCACATGAGAGTTATCGTTTCAAGACCATACTGTTCACAAACACTTTTCGAAGTATAAATATCAATCTAAAGCAACAGCATTATTTGCTTCGAAAAATGCTTTGTGTATAGAGCATTTTTCGCAGAAGTCTTACTGATCCCCACTGTAGGGGTCGATCCCACATAAAAATAAAAAAAAATACGTCGAGACCCACGCATGTGTGTGTTTTTTCCTTTTTGTCACCACGCACCAACTTGGAGATTCATTTTTAAACTTCCACGTGGATTATAATAATAGAGTTCATTTTTGGCTCATGCTGGCCACTAGATTCTGCAGAAATAGGCTGAACACAGCTGGATTTGAAATTAATTTTTGTCCATGTAAGTAAATAAAATAATTGGACAATCGATTTCGCCTATATTCTCAATCATTTCATACATCAATAAAATAAACGAAAAGGTGAAAAATCTGGCCTTGTTTGACCCTATTATATAAAATTTATTTTCTTCCAAACTTATTTTTAATCATACATTCTTTTCTATAATAATTTTATACGTAAACTCAAAATTTTCTATTTTTAATATTTTTTTAACATATTCTCTAAAAAATCACTATTACAAAACTCTATAAAAAAATAAAAAATTGGGACTAAAACACACCCTTGATTGCACACAAATAAAATGAATATAAATAATGAGAGACACATGTAATAATAGAGACAAAAATATCTTGTCGAGTTAAATGTATCAACCACTCAAAATGATATATTGTACTACGTAGTGATTTTCAACTTATACTAAGCACCGATAATTTGATACATTAAACCAATAGGAAATAAGTTTATATTGAATCAATATTTGAATTACATTTTTTATCCACCATGAATTGATAAGTCATGAAATCGTTAACTAACATAAGTTAAGCATCGATACTTTGTCGTTCATTTATCTACTAAACATTTCATCAAATACATCGAAGATTAAGTATTATGCTATAATTTTGTCTCATGTGTCTACATTTTTTTAATTTTGTTTGATTATATCGTGTATAGCTCTTACTTAATACATGTCACAATATTCATATTTAATAAGTTAAAATTACCATCAAATAAATAAATTGTGTAAGCTAATTTCTGAAAGAATTGATTTCATTTTTGATCAATAAAATCTCAACCGAGTCAATCAACTTCAAATTGTCTCAATTAGATTATCGGGTTTCAATTTACTTTCAGTATAATCATCTTGTTAGCCACTGTCACCAAAATTAACGTTTCAAATCTACATGAATGTTAAAAGTGTATGGTAATCTAACATGCCTTATGCTTCTAGATAAATATGCTAACGCGTAATTTGAAAATGTATGCTACCCGATTATGATCTAGCAAACAATGATTTATTTTCAAAGTTTGCAACCATGACTTCATTAAAAGTTGAGAACCTATAATCACACTACTCGAAAAATTGGGTAGCCTACCTTAATTTACCTTACTTTTATATTTAAAGTACACCTCGAAGAAATCTGGGTAATTAATGAAATCTTGTATTAAAATGATACATTAACTTGGATTCGGGGAATTAAAAAAAGGAAAAATTCATCGTCTAGCATTTAAAGAAGGCCATCAACCAAATCATAGTACAGTCTGATTCATTAAAATACTTAAAAATGTTTATTCATAGAAGTTTCAGTGAAAGAAATATTTTAATGAAAGTCAACCAGTTGACTACCTTACAAATTAGTTTGTATGTATATAGGTACTAGAAGTCTAGAACAAAAATATGTGGTATTGAACTTATCACCATATATAAGGAGTAAGGTCCATTTTCTTTGTAGTGAAAAAGGATGTATACATTTGATGACATTGGCGTTTGAAATCAGTAATGATGTTTGTTCAGAGTCAAAGACAAGGAAAAAACAGACTGATTTGATAGCAGATAATTGAATGTTTTTTGTTTTTATTTTTCAAACTGTCCAATCATGTGTTGACATGTATGTACCATGTTTTTGAATTTGTTTGTGTAGCATCTTTCCATTTAGAATATATGGTATTTACGCCTAATTGGAAGAATATTTATGTCATTATATGTCTATTTTAAGTTTTATCGGTCATCTTAGTTTTTATGGTGGTGTGATATTGACATTCGAGATGGTGAACATGAGCATTGCATTTGCTTCTAAAATGTAATTTGACAATTGAAAGTATGGCGAAGTGTTGTAAAAAATAAAATAAAATAAAATAAATAAATAAATAAATAAATATATATATATATATATATATATATATGGCCTTAAATAGTTTTACATAAATCATTTTTGACACAAACATGTTTTTTCTTATAAAAACACGACAACCATGGCGTACAATGTACTTCTGTAGTTCACTGTGGCACTCAATAGTAATTCGCATAATTTTATTTTCATTTTTCTGAGTGATTATTTGTCGTTATCACTTCAATAATTTATAGAATAAAAAATTACTTTAATTACTATTTTGATATTTCTTAAAAACGTTTCAGTGTCCACTTATGATATTAAAATCCCGTTTGGTACACATTAATGTAAAAATGAAAACGAAAAATATAATCATTACGGGTCCCCCATAAGAGATAGAAAGTCAAATATGATGACTTGATGCGATGGATAACAGTCATATTTTTCATTTTAATGAGCAAATAATGAAAATCAAACAGGGGCTAACTAAATAAATAAATAAATTTCAAGTATTTTGAAGAAGTGCGGGTAAAAATATCATTAAGACCGGAGATATGCCAGATTTGGAAAGCATATTCTCTTTCACAAGAATACGAAAGAGTAAATTACAAACTTGGCATAAGATATTAAGATGTTTATTAATAAAAGTTTGAGTTAAAAAAATAATAATAAAAAAATTATTTAAATGGTACAGGTCAAACTGAACCAACCGGTTGACAAGTTGTCTCGGATCCTCCAATATTGGAATTAAATCATTCTCAAGTTTTCATAATTAACTGTGATTTCTCAATCAACAGACCGGCCATGGACTAAAGACATTTACCTGGGACAAGGGCAACATTCTCCTCGTATTCATACAAGGCCAAACCTTGTCATGGGCAACATCGTCCCTTATTAAATTGCAGGAAGGACTATGCTAACTGCACAGGCCCCTTTGCACAAGGACTCTCACATTGGGGAGTGCAGGGGGCATAGGTGGAGTCCACCTCCATGTGAGAATCCCTCTGCAAAAGGGCCTATGCAAGTAGCACAGTCAACATGTGGGATCCACCCTCATATGAGAGCCCCTGTGCAAAGACGTCTGTGTAAAAGGCTTTTCCCTCATAGGAATTGGTGGGATTACTAAAGACGATCGAGGAAAATGTATTGCATAATTTATATGCAATATTCAAATTAAACCACGTGTTCTACCACTTGTGTAACCATGTCAATTCCTTTGAATTTCATTCTTGAAAATGTAGTCCCAAGGTGAGATATTTAACATATTATCTACAATAATATGTGTAACGAATCGCCTGCCTGACCTTCAAGTTTGCAAAGTCCCCTAGGGCAGCCTCCCATACACATGGGCCGGCAACCTAAAATATAACATATTCACACGATATACTTTGGGCAGGAAGCTTGCAACCATACCTACTACATATTGGACATCCTTAGTGCACTTTTCTGTAATTTGACCTTAAACCTGCAGTTGGCAATCTTGTCATGACCGTCATGCTTTAGGACATTGACATGTTGTCTTGGAAAATCATTTTTCTACTCAAAGAGACAAATATTACCGAAAATTCAAATCAAACCTTACTCGAGGATTGTGGTTTTTTTGGGCATCGAATCAATATCGAGATAATGCACACATTAACACAAGGAAATAATTGATCAGATTATATAGTCAATATGGGGTAGACATATGATAGTTCTTCAGAAATCAATAAAGTCCATGAATTCTTTGCTCTTTGCAGAAATCATTAAAAGTCCATAACTACAAGGGTCTATAGTTCAACAATATCACAAAAAGAAATTTGCAGAGAAATCAGGAAATACTGTATAAACTAGGCAAATCAAAAGAGTTATTAATTGTAGCAAGGCAAGACCCCGTAAATTCAAGAGAGGGGCACCTCTTCAGAAAAAGAGTCACATTGACCAGGTCATCCAGACAACTATCGACTACTTTGAAACCATCGTCACAAGAATATATTATGGAATGCACAAAAGCTAGAGTACCATCTAAGTGATCTAACATGTGTTAAAAGTCGACACACGCTAGTTAGTTACGAACAAAATATAAACGTTTTGGAAAGATCTTCTATGCTGTCAGTGTTTCCAACCTTTTCATCCTTGCTTGCACCCTAAATCACCACCATAACTGAATTTCATCTATCTCTTGCGCTTGAGTGTCGTCACTTGCTTTAAGATATAACTGATAACTTCCTTGAGTGTGGCCTTCCTGTTTTCCTTGTAGTTCCATAGTTCAGGAACCACATACCGTCCACTTGGATTATATTCATTCAATTCCTTCAAAGCTGTCGTGACTGCGTCGTAGATTTCATCGCTCCATTCATCCTTGAGCTCGTGTAGTGATTCATTATCCTCGTCCAACACTTCCTGCCAAATTTACTCCAACCTTTAATATATCATTTTGAAATGGTTCTCTGGCAAACAAACTTTCAGTTATATGTAACATCACCTCGTGCTTCCCATCGACCGGGATAATTTTAAAAGGGTGAAATTCAGGATTTTTCAGTTTTTCCTGCCATAAGGAACAAAGTTCTACAGACTTGATCTCAGCTTCTTCAGGCCCAAATCTCTGCTTGCATGAATTCAGAAAGGCCTTTTCATCAATTTCGCCCATTCTCTTTATCCCAATGTTTACACGGCTGCTACTCATCATATCATTCAAGCCCTGAATATTAAGCAAATTGCAGTCATCATAGCATAATGAAGAGTTAATTTCAATCTATTTTATCAGAGCCATAGCATAAAGTAAGAATCCAGGTTAAACAGCCTCAAACATGACTATATTTCTCGCAACCAAAAACATTTTGATCATGAGATTACTATCTTTCCCAATAATAGATTGGTTGATTTTTTTAAGATATCTCGTCCTTACACTTTAGAATAAAAATCACCCCGCAAAAATCCCCCAGACACCAGAAAAAAATAAAATAAAATAAACCTAATACTTAATATGCACAGCACGAGTGGTCTTTTATAGTGTAAACAGTTCTATGACACTTGCACTACTTTTAAACAGCTTATAGTTCATTATATCACTACAAGTCTACAAGAAATACTCTTGATAATAATTTGGTTTAGCATGTTTTTCTACATTGACAACTCCAAACTTCATTAGTAATAAAATTTCGCTTGCTGTCACTTAAAATTTTCATATGCTATTAATTCCTAACAAGCATATTGCAGCTCATCATTACTCAAATGCTCTTTGGCGAGAAGAGTTTCATTCCTTGATTCCATGCCATAATGTTGTTCTAAGTCTTCGAATTGTTACTATTGATCTCATCAAATTTATATAACATCAAAATAATGCCATAAATCATACCTCTATTAATTCTTTACGAGCCTTTTGCAGCTCATCATTACTAGAGCGCTCTTTGGTGAGGAGTTGTTTGTTTAAATCTTCGAGACCATCCATTTCCTCAATCTTCTCTTCCAATTGCTCATTCATCTCCTTTATCTTTTTCTGGACAGCTGCATCATCTTCCCCTCCCATGTGCTTCATCACTTCTAGTTTCCCTTTCAGTTCTTCAATTTCCATTTCCAATTTCTGCTTCTCGGCCAGGTTCCTTTCAAGCTCGAGAACTCTTTTCAGAGCAGCCTCCTTCTCCCTCTGCACATTTGATACGAGAGTAGAAGCAAGAAAATGGCACCATAATCACTGACAGGGTGGATAAGTCAAATAACATATGTAGTTGAAGCATGAAACCATGTCTGGGACGAGAAAAAAGCATCATTCTAATGGACACACCTTCTGTTCTTCAACTAGCCTGAGGACATTCTCGTCAGCTCTTTTCTGTTCCTCAGAAGCCATTTGAAGTGAATTGTTTCTCACATCATTCTGTAGGACAAAAAGTTCGTACTAAACAATTGCTGCATAGATATATTTCACTCAACAATAGTAATTAAAGATGATTTGATATCTATAATGATTTGCATAAGCATGTTTAGCAATTTTGTTTACCAACAGAAAAAATGAAAAATTAGGAGAGAAGTAATGAATTCTATGGGCAAGTACTATACTGGGATGAACAGAAAGCCGTGAAGTTCATTTATAACTAGAATGATACAAAATATAGATGCACAAACAAAGAGAAAATATCATAGCATAGTCTAACCTATTCATGGCATTAAGCTCTGGAAAAAAAATAAAAATAAATAAATAAATAAAAATTGATTGTTCTCCATGTTGTTGTTTGCTTTTCTAAGGGTAAAAACCATATCATTTGAACATGTAAATGTTAGACATCAATAACATAGCAGACACAATTGGAAGGGTCACATATTTAAATGTTTTATTGCACGAAAAGTAAATTACCTTTTTCTTCTCCTCTTCAAGCTTCTGCTTCTCTCGTTCAGTTAAAGCCTCACGCTTATTCAATTCTTTGCTCCAGGTATCAAGTCGTCTCCTCTTGTTCTCCAACTCCATATTCAACATCTCCTGTTCATCCAAAACCCTTTGAACATGCTCCCTTGCAATACGTTGCATCCTCCTTGTTTCTGACAGGAATTTTTTTATGGATCATAGTGAACATTGTAGCTTATAAATAAAAAAACATAATTCATAATTCAGTGGAATATGATAGTTGACAAATATTTATTGCTAGTGAATCTCCAATTAGCATCAACCAGTTGTTGAATATTTATTGCTGTATTAAATTAATGTATATTAAACTCAGAGAGGTCCATAAAAGTCTATTAAGCATGTTGAATTTGACCTAGTAGAATCTCATAGGAAGATGTAAAAGACATGTTCTAATGAGTGAATATCCATTAAGAGCCTTTTTGAGCCACATTATAATGAGAATGAGAATGAGAAATAGAGCCGTTATGGGTCCCAAACCAGAAATAGAAATTCAAAAATGGTGGCTTGATGTGATGGATAACGATCATATTTTTCATTTTAATGAGGTGAAAATGTGGCTCAAACAGGGGCTAAATTTTACAACCACATCTTGAAAAAAGAAGAATTTTAATCAAGCTGGGTACATTTATTTTCTACAACACCATGAGAAAATAACAACATATAGATACAGGCATAAGAGGGCATATTATAGCCATCTATCATATACAATTGGGCAGTGCTTCAACAGAAAATGCAAAAAGAAAAAGAAAAAAGCAAAGGTGCAAAAGAAAGGAGAGGCGAACGACAACCTTCGGAAAAAGCACGGTGTAGCATGTCTTTTTCTTCAATCATCCGGCTAAGTGACATTGTCCTCTCATTATACTTGACCTGCAACTGATCCAGATTGTCATTTTTCAAGTCAAGCTCATTCGCAAGATTAGCAACAGCTTTGTTTCTGTGTTGTGTTGCTTCCTGGACCAGGTCAGATATTGTCTTCAACTTCCCCGTCTTACGCAGATAATCTCCGATTGCCCCTTCTGACCTGTAATCATCATCACGCGCAAACCAGCCATAAATATTTGAACCAAGTGACCTACTTCGAGCACCCCATTCTTTTTTACTGTGTTCATCAGCTTCAAAGAATTTTTCAAACTCCATTGCATTCTTGAAACCATTCCAATCACTATCAAATCTTATAACAGCCTGTGCAATACACTCCTTGTCGTCCCAGAAAAGCTCAACTGACAAAGGTTTAAAGTTGGTGAACTTTTTCAACCAGTAGCTGCTACTAGCCAAATCTTTTCCATATTCCCGCTTGTTGTGAATATTAACAATAATCCCTGTCCAAGGCCAGCAGTATAACTCAGTCTGATCAGATTCATCAGCAGGATCAGGAGTAACCACATGCTGGGGTAGTGGGTCAGCCTCGTCAGCAAGTTCATTTTTCAAGTAGTTTGCTAGAGCAAGATGGTTTGCCTTCTGCTTCGCACTTCTGTGGGATGCGCCTTTGCTCACACCACTTGAATGTTGAAGAAGGTCTTTATACTTGTAACCTTGTTTCTTCTTCCCAGCACAGAAGGGACATTTAAGAATGCCATTTGGGCCTTTTACTTTATATCTCCCAGACTTTAGTCCCTCATAAGGTTTATTCGAGTAATCCACAATCTCTGAATCACTGATATCTGACTCTGAATCTGAGCTGCTTCCCATCTAACTTGACAATAAGAAGCATAGAAAGATTACAAGAAAAATCTGATAAAAATACTAACTACAACCACAAACAATCGTGAAAAGGGAAATCACCAATAAGAAATATATCAGTAGATAAGCAAACACTTCATTGGATTCAGAATATTTAACAGTAAAATAATTATGCAGCATTGCACTGTCTAGCACAGACTGAAAGTTGAATCCAAATAATTCATCTCTTGATTTCTGAGTTCCAAATAATTAAAATAATGTGCATAATCCTCTCACTCGTAGAAACCTTGATTACTACATAATTCAACAAAAAGCCGTGACATTCAGAGAAAGCAATAGCAAACACTTCATTGGATTCAGAATATTTAACAGTAAAATAATTATGCAGCATTGCACTGTCTAGCACAGACTGAAAGTTGAATCCAAATAATTCATCTCTTGATTTCTGAGTTCCAAATAATTCAAATAATGTGCATAATCCTCTCACTCGTAGAAACCTTGATTACTACATAATTCAACAAAAAGCCGTGACATTCAGAGAAAGCAACGTAGCTCATGAAATTGATCGATATTGGAAATATAATGTGCTAACAGGGTGCTCTCAAACATATGTAAAGAGGTTACCTATTGCTGCATGGAGGGCATAATACTAATAACTTATGGGTCCGAACATAGCATGGTTCAACAAAGAAGCATCAGGTTGTAAGCCAGAAACTTAATCAAACTTAAAGCAATTCAACTTCAACTTAATATCAAGAATCTGAGATATGTTACAAGGAAAGGAAAAGGCTAGCAAGATAAACATAAAGAACAATTATTCAAAACCAACACAAGCAATCTCAGCGAAACACTAAAAACCCTTTAATGAGCAACAGAAATTAAAGTCAAATTATAATAAAAAATAAAAAAACGAAGCCAAAAGGAAACAGATAAATGATGCTTGCTTATATACATACTCTAGAAGTAGATATAGCTGACGTAGGTTGCTTTTGCTAATAGTTTAATGGAACAAAAAAGCACAGGGCATATGTTTTTATAAGGTCCTTGTTTTTGAAGGTAAAATACTAAAATTTAAAAAAGTGATCTCCTCAGAAAAATAAAACGTGAATGTACTTAGATTTCTCCTCCATTTTCCAAGTTTTTGCACAAATCACAAAAAGAAAGAATCAAGGGTTGCGTAACAATCAAAATACTGAAATTAAACAGCCTTAATATTCAAATTCGAAAATGGGTGTTCATTCAACCCCATAGAGGAAACATTACAGCAGATATAGCTGACGTAGGTTGCTTTTGCTAATAGTTTAATGGAACAAAAAAGCACAGGGCATATGTTTTTATAAGGTCCTTGTTTTTGAAGGTCAAATACTAAAATTTAAAAAAGTGATCTCCTCAGAAAAATAAAACGTGAATGTACTTAGATTTCTCCTCCATTTTCCAAGTTTTTGCACAAATCACAAAAAGAAAGAATCAAGGGTTGCGTAAGCAATCAAAATACTGAAATTAAACAGCCTTAATATTCAAATTCGAAAATGGGTGTTCATTCAACCCCATAGAGGAAACATTACAGTCAGCACAACAACAACAACAAATCCAAACAAAGATCTAATTATTCTATGAGCTTTATAGAAAACAGTGCACGGTCTCACAGAAGAAACTAAAAATAATGTAAAGTAAGAATAGATGAATAAGATGTGTACACTTATGGTCTCCCTCCATTTTCTAAATTTTTGCACAAATGAGAAAAAGTAAGAACCAAGTAAAAACACTGAAACACGAGTCGAGACAGAGTTGACTCGGAAGCACGGCTAAAAAAGGAAAGAAATGCCTTTATTCTGTGCACTCCGAGTCGACTCCACCAGCACATGCAAAACCACACCATGGAGAATGGAAGAAAAGCAAACAAGGTATTTGTTCATACAAATTAAATAGAAACTGAGAACAGAACGCCGACTCAAAAGTAAAAAAAGGAACTACCGCCGGCTGGTAATCTCAACGGAGACGACGATACCTAGAATTCTGAAATGAAAATGGCAAATGCTCAGTCGGGGTTTCGTCAGTGTCACTGACGGTCTACTGAGGTGCAACAAAGAAAACTGTAAATGCACGCATTTCAGGTGGGTCCCAAGTCCGTATTGTATTCATTCCAATAGTAAACATCGCGGGATAAAAGCTGTTGAGAAATAAAAATGGATTAAGCCAAATGAGCATATTGCTTGACACAGCACTCGCAGTCGAGGCATGGGTTTCGTGCAAATAAAATAATGTCGACCTATCATGTAAGTGTGTTTTGTCAAACAACGTGTCAAACTTTATGATAATGTAGCATGATCCAATAAAAATAGAGAATAAAAGTTCTAATCAAGTTTTGTTAAGACTACGATTGTAAATTTAGAAATAAATAATTTCAAAGATTTCTGGATTATATTCGATGGAAATGGAACGATAACTATGATGTGATACTTTTAAATTAACTTAATTTTTTTAATAAAATAAGAGTATTGCTGTCTCGAACCTGAGAAAAAAATGAGATTGTGGTATTGCTAAATAATTTTCTTAAACATATTATAGAAAATTCACTCGGCTCGATCCATTTTGTTGCACATATTCCCTCTTATATAGGTCGTAGGAGTGGAGCTTGTCGTCTCAGTCTTGTCAAACTATAGATTATCAATTACAAATTCCAAACGATATAATATTGACTTGTCTTCATCTACTTCTGCAGCCTTGGCAACAATACCAATCGTCATTCTAAATCTTTTGTTCATGAATAATCTAGAGTTGGTGCAGTGAGATGATGAAGTGGAGGAGGAGAAGGTGGGGAGAATTCGAGGAGTTGAAGTGTGGGGATAAAGGGAGGAGAGAGGGGCATCACATTGGTTGTAGCAATGACAATAGTGGTGGTTGTAATGGTGGGAATACGAGTGAGTGGAGGGAGTTTGAATCTTAGCGAGCACCACTTGATGTTGATATTGAGCCCATGACTTAATTTTCTTCAAATTCATTTTTAAATGTATTTTATCTTAATAAAAATAGTTTTCTAGATAGCTCCAAAATAATCTTATTTTGAGTCACATTCTTAAAAATTATAATTTTAATAAAATCTATTGTAAAAATTGGAGTTCAAACATATGTCTGACTCTTTTTCATGTTCTATATATTTTACTAATTAATTTTTATTAGTTAAATAGTATTTGTGGAACTAAACTTTAGAAAAAAATTCAGTTAGGTCACTAAACTTCATTTTAATTTTAATTGAATCCCTAAATTTTTATTTATAGTTTCAATCACTTGATATCTTTTAAATTGATGACAATTACTTGATTTACGGTTAAAATGCAAGGAATCTTTCATATAATTGTTGTGTAGTACGATGACTTATCACTATGCTACGTTGTAAAATTTTGAAATAATAATAAAAAGTTTATAAACTTTTAATCTAGATACATCTTCGTCTACATGATTCCATCATTTTCAAATTTAGATTACCACATAGTGAATTATACTAAAATCGATTATGGAGTAGGTTTGCTAAACCTTGACCTTTTTATTAAACTGGTCAAATATATTTTTTATCTACACATTTAATTACAATTTATTATCATTTATTATTCATATATTTCATACGATCTGCTGTTTATAAATACTTAAAACTAATACCAAACAAACACATGATACAGTTGTTAAATAATTAACTATTATTAATTTGGGGACAATAGGTTATGGATATGGAACTGGGTGTCAACCGAGTAATTATGATTAGTTTCGGGTACAATAGATGATAGAAGTGACGAAATTTAGATCCTGTTTGGTACCCATTTTTTTCAAAATGTATTTTTCTCTTTCTTCTTTTCAATTATACATTTTTCATTAAAATAATATCACAAGTAAATAAAAAAAATTTCCTTATTTTTTAACCACATATTTTCCATCAATTTATTATTTCAAAATGCATTTTTACATAAAAATGGCTCTAAAAAAACTAAATCGGAGTATGATTTATGATTTTCGGTCCTCCATAGAAGAGAGAGGACTGATAAAAAAGAAAAGATTCTTTAGGTTTTATTAATTTTAAAATACATTTTTCTCTATTATTCAATAAAATAATATTACACTTAAATTCGAATTTTTTTTTCTTCTTTAGCATACATTATTCGAAAAGTCACTATTACAAAATACATTTTTTTTTCCCAAAAAAATAATTATAATGGAGCTCAAACATGGGCTAAATAGCATCACCATATTTTTTTAAAAACAGGATAGCATCAACTTCATGGATCCTATTAGTTGAGTGATTTTTATTTTTATTTTTTTTAGAAAAAGGGGAAAAATATTTTTTTAAAGGTAAAATAAGGACATATTTATTATATTTAGATTTTTTTTTATTTATGTACTTCGTGGTTGTTCTAGTTACTCTTATTTAAGTCATTCGATTACTTTCTCTCTATTTTATCTAAACCAAATGAGGAAATAGAATCAAATTTCAAAAATATAATTCGGTTGATTTAAGGGTTTGAATATTTAGTATTTCAAGGTTACAAGATCCGAATTTTTTGGATTTACGAGTAATGTTTTGATCTTAAATGTGGAATGTTCGGAATCTTTAGATATTTAGAGGAATTTCATACATGAATTGCAAGATTGGATGATTAGGGTGAATTTGTTTGTGCTTCTATTTGATTGAGGAAATTATCTATTTTCTGTTTTTCTTTCTTAATTTTTCATCAAAGGAATTGATACTTTGATGGAAACCGAACTTTTCTAATTCTCATTTTTATTTTGAATTAATTTTCTGGAGTGAATTTGACAGTCCTTTTTTAATAAATGAGTGCGCTGCTTTTTAGTGACTTTTTATTTGGAGAAATTTTTAGTTACTAGAACAAATTTTGTATGAGAGAATAAATTGCACATTTGCTTTATTTATTTTTTTCTTCTGAGCCAGTAATTTTGCTATATGTTTGGTAGGGTGAATTGGATAGTATTGAATTCAATAAGAAAAGAAGCTAAATCTTTGCCCCGTTTGATTCCCATTTTTCTCAAAATACAGTTTTATTTCTCTTCTTTTCGACCACACATTTTTTATTAAAATAATATTACACGTAAATCAAAAACTTTTCATCCACACATTCTCCATTAATTTATCATTCTAAAATTCTTTTTTCCATAAAAATGGTGTTTATTGAGAACCTAACTATGCACAGTAAACAAAGAAGGATAATTAATGAGTTGCAATTAATCTACTTGTGCAAAGTAGGTAGACAAAGTTTATTGACAAAATAGGTGTTAACAAGATCTAGGCCTTCGATTTGTTTTAATTTCAAAATCTTATTTTGAAATGAGTGATATAGATCTTAGCAACTCATGTTTGTCAACTTCCTTTGTACACATAGCATCACTCAATGAGTTGAGCTATCTGGGAGTAAATAAATGAAATATCCTAAGGATTTTTGGGAATCTACAGGCAAAGCCTCATTAGTTACTAAATGCACAATATAGGAAATTTAGGAAAATGTGATGGTTTACAACTCGGAAGTCGTAAAATATGAAGAATGCAGATAGCACAATATATCTTCATCCTTGGCAGCCTTCTTTTATTTTATTTTTTTTATTTTTTGTGATTCTAAACTCTGCTATGCATTTTTTGACATTTTTTTTTTTTCATTTCGTATGGAAGAAAGGAAAATGCCAAACAAAGATAATGGTTGACATAAAGGATGACACCACACTCACAGTCGAGGTGTGGGTCCCGTACGAATAAAATAATGCCGACCTCCTATGTGAGTATATTGTGTCAATCAATGTGTCAAACTTTGTAGTAATGTAGCATAGTTGTGGAATAAACTTCTCTGTGCACTAAGGTCTCAACATATAAAAAGGTTGTCAGACTCTGCCCAAAACAGGTGACGAGAAAACAGCACTAGAGGATCAAAATGGAATGGAAAAGGGCTCCTGAACATGAATCAGGGCCCAAATGAAATTCATGATGGAAACAATCATGAAGGAAGGAGAGAATTCGTCGTGCCTGCTGTAGGGATGGAGTTTGAGTCCTACGAACCAAACACATGAACACTTAAGTGTAAAATTGATGTGAAATTATATCTCTTAATATGTCTTTGCAAGATAATGATTCATTTGAACAAATTAATTTCGAAATCCATATGTTCATTTTTTTAGTCTTAATCGGATCGAACTGATACCATGTTAAGATCTGAGCTTAATGGATTCACTTTGTTGGATAGAATCATAAATTATAGTTAAAGAAGTATAATTTTTGGAATTTTGAGGGAGGACAAAAGGATTTAGAGAGATCTAAGCAATCTAAAACTAATGTAAACTTGAAGATCTGTGCAAACAGTAGTAACCATTTGTGAAATTTAGCTCTCAAAAAATTATAGAGAATGTCATTTATCCACCCAGATGAAACTTAAATGCATACTACAATGAATTTTTCTTTTTTTGGATTTCCAAATGAACCGTGGCAGACTGGCAGTGATCCAGTGGTTCTAGACTCTTGCCCTCTTGCTTTGCACGCTAGAAATTAGAATACATTTTTTCAAAATTTTGACTAGATTACGGGATATTTACATGATCTAGTAATTCCCACTAAATTTTTATCGGGAAAATTTTATATATAATTTGCGGACAATAATGTAATTGTATGCTCCTTTCCTTTTTACGTATATAATTTTATTTAAAAATTGACAATATCGTCACTCCACCACTAATACTCTATTATACTTCTAGCCCTTGTTTGAGCCCAATTTTTTGGGTGTAGAATGATTTTTTGAAGTGTATTGATGAGAAATGTGTGGTTAATAAATAAGAAAATTTTTTGAATTTACATATAATATTATTTTATTGAAAAATGTGCGGTTGAAATGATATCAAAATACTGTTAAAAAATGTATTTTTTCAAAAGAATGGAGCTCAAACAAGGGCCTAGTCTAATGCCACCACTTTATTATTATTATTATTATTTTCCTTTTTTTCAACACTTACCTTTGAACTTGACTATCCCGACATGGTCATCATCCAGCCCTACTCTTCTCACAAACCTCTAAATAGAGGTGATGTGTCATCCTAAGCTATGCAACTACAATGAAAAGGTTTAGGAGCTGTTTGGGAGTGATT